TTCTGGATCACGATATTCGGGGCGAATACGATGAATTCTGCCCATCAATCGCTTTAAAACTTCGAGATAATATGCATCAGTAATTGTTTGGCCAGTTGGAACAAACTCTTTATGGATAATATCTTTGCTATCAAAGAATGTGATGAGCATTGTCTTGATTTTTGATGGAACTGTTCGTATTTTTTTTGCTTGTGGTGAATTTTTTGACTTCCATTCCGCACTTTGACGTTTAGTTTCTGGATCATATTGAAAGCACCATGTTTCATCACCCGTAACAATTGATTTTAGGAAATTTGGATTATTTTCTGCAACGATGTCTCTGGAATAATTGATTCTCGCTGATTTTTGATCGCTTCTTAATGTGTGTGGAACAAACTTCGCACAAACCTTCGTTTTACCCAAATCTTCATGTAATATGGTTCGAATCGTTTCTCTACTGATTTTTAAAGCCTCCTCCATCATTTTTAGTGATGCATTGCGATCGTTTGCAACAAAATCGTACTTTTTTGATCATTCGGGGGGTTCGAACCAAAATTGGCCGTCCTAATTTTTTGTCATCTTCAAGGGTCTCTCTGCCTTCCAAAAAACGCTTATGCCACTCAAAAACAGCTGTACGACCTAGACAATGACTGCCGTAAACTTGTTGCATCGATCGGAATGTTTCTGATGCACTTTTACCAAGTTTTGCGTTAAATTTAATCACTGCTCTTTGTTCCATATTAAAATTTCTATCTCGACCAAAATCTTGTTTAACATGAACTGTCATATCTTCGTTATATGTCAACCAAAATGAATGAAACTTTGACAGATGATAGCAAAATATTCAACTTTTAAAATGCATGTTTGAACGCACAGATGTCGCCACTGGTTGCTGAGATGTGGTTCGTGTCCGGGAACATATTTATCGCACTGTGTATATCATTGCCGTCAGAATCTCTGAAGAAGGTCCAAAAAAAGAGCAAAAACATATAAGAAGTATTACAAATGTATCATAGATAACCGAATCCGATAAATCAATTATAGAAAATAATTATCGCGTACTATTTACCGCGCTTAATGCTCTTATACCATTTTTGATTTGATAACTAACATAAAGTTGCAATTCTTTGGTTTCAAAATTTATATTACTATTACAATCTAGAGATTTATTAGAAAATTCATAAATTTATTAGAAAATTTTAATTCTAATAGATCACCTGAAGTACTGAAGATTGATGATAAAGGATACATCATTGTTGGTGACGCTGGAAATGGAAGAGTACAAATTTTCTCTCCAGAAGGTAAATTTCTACAGGTGTTGGGTGACAAAAACACGCAAGGATATAAATTTGCATGGGTATCTGGTTTGTTAGTGACAAATAATTACAATATTTTGGTCTCTGATAGCAAGAATAATTTTGTTTATTTATTTTAATATCATACTCTAATGTAAAATTGCTTTTAATTAATAAAGAGACATGCAAGTTTCCACCTTCAAGTTTTTTTAATAAAGAGACATGCAAGTTCCCACGACAAGCTTTTTTAATAAACTTTGGATATCAAAATGGAAAACATTTTTGTAAGTCATTTATACACATATTAAAGAAGAAATATTTTCTAAAAAAATTTATTTTGTTTTAATGTTCTTAAGGATGTATCTAAATCATTTTTGCAAATGTGTTAATATTTATACTTTAAACAAACTATATATATTATATATGTGTGCGTGAGTGCGTGTGTGTATGTGTGTGTGTGTGTGTGTGTGTGTGTGTGTGTGTGTGTGTAAGATATGTAAATAACATTCTGTTTTTATTGTTCAATATTTTTATAATTTATTTATCTTATTTGTTATTATTTTGTGTTATTGTTATAACTAAAATGATAACAAACATCTAAATTCTTTTTATAAGTACTTTAAGTATTTATATAATTTATGCATAGTTTAATTGCGATTCACTAATTAGTTACAAAAATTTAGAACAAATAAATAGTTTCTTTATTTACTGAACAACTCGTCTATGTATCGCAATGTAACTTTACATATATAATCTTGACTATAGATTGAAATTTTTGTCAATTATTGTATAATTTCTATACATTTCTATTAGAGCACAGATTTAAAAAATATAATTGCTTATTTTTTAAAATAATTTATAATCGAGATAATAAACCGTCAACAATAAAAAATGTATTGTATTACCTTTAAATGCGGTAGAATAATCTATAACTTTTTATAATTATTTTAAAATAATTTCGAAATATTTCAGATATTTACAGCTTTAAAAAGTATCTATATGAAAAATGTTTTAAATAAGAATTAAATATAGATTTTAAGCCGTTTTTTATAATAATATTTTGAAACAACCTAACTTTCGTTGCACGGAATAGCTCGTCAGAGAAGTTAAATCGGACCGGGAATAAAAGAAGTTCGTTGCAGAGAGACAGGGCGTTCAAATAACGCATAGATCTGTATAGTAAAGTAAAACAGAAATACTCTTTATTACATACAACACGAACAGATAGCTCTGAGATAGCTCACAATACTATAACGTAAAATGAATAATATAATAAAAATAATAGCGACGGCGCGAGTCGCAATCGGTGTTTCGAATCGGGGCCGGACGCTAGTGTCGTGGCGCGGTAATGCGGCGCAGGTACACACTGATACCATCGCAGCGCGGCAGCGCGAGACGCGTGTCGCGGATTTTCAAATGTGCCTATAGCACACCTGAACATGTGCGTGGACCGGCGGCCGATAACACCCGGCAGAAACGAAGAAATCTTTATTCCCTAACTTCTTGCTGATTGTCGTGTATAAGATTTCGGGTGGTGCCTTTCGACTGTCGGGGACGCCCAACGGAGGCAGAGTACTCCCTATCCCCTCGTCGCGTTTACTCGGCGGATACAGCGAGAGTTAGCTTCCAAAGGTGCTGAGAACGCCCAGTGGAAGCGAAGTTCGTTTCACTCCTTGAACACGATTAGCTTAGCCGGAATCTTGCGGCAGCAGGCTGCTCGTAGCGGATCGGGATTGCTAGCGAGTCGGTAGGATCTGTTTGTTGAACAGAAATCGGTGCCAAAAAAGCCCCTCTGTAAAAATCCGTAGCCTTTTATACGACCGATTTTGGCAGCGCCGCGGATTCAGTGAAGCTCGGTTCGGTTCGTACATTCTCGTCGAGCAATACTCCCACATGCGTGATGGTACCGAACCCTGTCGCGGGTAGCGTTCGGTCGTTCTCGCGAAATGTCGGCTGGTACTATCTTTGGAAACCTGCGAAACTATGTTTGCGGTTTTTAAGATTTTTCGAGCGCACCGCGCCCGCATCGCTGCACATGATACAGCGGCTGATGTTCGGCCGAGAACGATGAGGTTTCTCGGGGTGCATCATTACAATTTTAAGAATTTCTTAAAAATATGATATTTCTCATAATGTTATTACTCTCTTTTCGAGAATTTTTAAATTATTTTGTGTGTATTGCATCATTGAATTTTTTCTTAAATAAAGTTTAAGTCTCTCTAAAAGAATTATTTTTAATTTATATTTAAGATAGACCACTATAAACCGCATCGCAATTAATTATAATAATGTGTTCTGCATGAATTCTTGAAGTTTCTAGAAATCGCCAACCAACTCGAAATTTCTCTCTATTTGTTGGAGATCAATAACTAAAAACTCATGTGCACACACAAAAACATTTAACTAACAGTGCCTCAAGTTTAATGAAGATCGGAGCGTTTGCGTGCTTTCATGACGAGATCGGAATGACGTACTCGAACGCCAATCATCCACCCGCTTTTTCACTCGCGCATGGCAAGAGCACATATCCTTGCAATTAAATATGGATTGCCAATCATGCTCGGCGTCTAAAGGTCACCTCAAAATTTATAATTTTGAGAAATTTTATTGGCAATCGACCAAAAGACTTTCGTTCAGTCGAATATACAAGATTGAAAGCGGCAGCCGAATTTGCTTAGTCGATCGTCTCCGAGAAAACTAATTAAAATTTCGCCATTCTTTAGAAATCCGAATCTTAATTATTCGCCACGCTCATTCAATTAGCCGTTACGATAAGCAGTCCGAAAGAAAAATCCTTTATTTAAAAAATCCTTAATTTAAGGACAAAGTCAAGAATTTTTTTTTGTATTTCAAATTCTTTTCCATATTTTCAAAATTTGTGTGTATGAATAACAATGCAGATTGTGTCTTATTTTTTTGTGTATGTGAAAGAAAAGGTATAGGTCTCTTTCTTACCTGCTACAAAAAATTTTCCTCCTCACCTATCTTTGTTCAAACATTTTCTGGTCCTTCGAGCCGGATTACTCGCTGGTTGTCACAATGCCTGTATATGGGAGCATACACAGTGACCAAAAAAACAGAAAGAGAAAATAAGTAAATGAACTATGAGTATTATAAATACCTTGTTAATCGCCCAAAGTGACATTCATGTCTCCTGGTCGCATGGTTAGATCGGTGTCAAATCTGAAGAAGATGGATACAGCGGATATCACTCTTTATGCCATCGAAATCCCTGACTCTTTTCGATCAGTTGTGGGCTCAATTTGAAAAGCAGCATGAGCTTATCCGAGCACACTATAAAAAATTCTTCGACAATAGTGAGTACAATTCAATTTGCCAATTTCGTTAAAATTACGTACATGTAGCAGCGCAGCCTATTGAACGAGTACGCATAGTTCAAAGTTGAAATGATGTTCGAAATGCTCCTTCGAATGAATCAAGAAACGATTTCTCCATCGGCGTTACGGCGTCTTAAAATCTGGTCATTTTCTGGCGCGTTCGAAGACTGGCCCTTGTTTCGAAACATCTTTCTATCCATCATCAGGAATAATCCATCTTGAACGTTTCATCACTTGAGACATTGTTTGGAAGGACCAGCTGAATCATTAGTATATCCGTTAGCAGTGACCGAAGACAATTATCCTCGTGCTTGAGCATTGCTGTGTAAACACTACGAAAATAAAAGAGAATGATCGCGCTCTAATTTTTGCATGCTTGACGCCGTGCCAAAGATGAAAAGTGATACACGAAGAACTCAGCCGCATTTATAATGCAGCTCTCAATGCTGTAAACGGTTAGGAAAGCATAGGAAGAACAATTCTTATGGCTTTGATCTGAGACATCAAAAGATCCGCGTCGAGCTTTTTTAGGGTCCAACGCAGTCTGGGTGTGTCCGTGTCCCTCGGAGAATAGTGCACTTCTGATGAGGAGGTTCGGCGCTTAGAGACCAAATGATATGGTATCGTGATCCGACATGATCCAGGTCATCGATCCATTAGTCTAATTATACCCACAGCGTAACCTAGGTAAGGTTCACAATGAATTCACCCTGAGAGCGGATACAGATACTTCTCGACCCAATGTTGGCCAACACTAGATGTACAGCAGCGGTGGATGGGCGACGCTCAGCCTCAGTGACTGTCTTTTCTGTATGGGAAGACTCTTTGGTTTTTGTCCTCCCTTTTTCCGGCAGAGTTAAGCTGGCTCCGACTTTCCTAGAGATTTGAATTTTCCCCCTTCCAGCATCTTGGGCCAGACCTCGGCGCCGAAAGTAGAAATTGCCGAAGCTGCCGCTGTCTTCTTCTGTGCAAGAGAGAAAGGGCTCGCTCTTCTTTGTCACCTTGCGGATCTTGATCCTCTTAGCCTGCACGGGCTATTTCCCGCCCGCTTCCGGCGTATTTCCGTTCGCCCTCTTTTTCTTCGTTTTGATTGAAGGGATGGAGGGAGGCGCAGATGTTTTTGCGCCCTTCCTCTTCTTTATCCCCTTAAGATTCCTCTCGCTAAAGAGGGGAGGGACAAGAGTCCAGTCTTGCTAGTACTTCAAGGAAGACTTGAATCAGCATTTCCCTGATGATAGATCACAGGACAACTGTGAGAGGCTTCTTTTCTACCTTCTTACAATGTCGAGCGATCTGAACTCCATCCTTGTTGCTGAGGATTCATCGCATTTCGGCCGCCAAGGTGCTCGCTTTGGCGGCCCTGCCCTTACCGGTGATCTTATAGGACAAGGACCCCGATAAGAGCCCTTCTCGCCCTCAAGCATTGCAGGTGGGCAGGATCTGGGATCATTCTTACCTTTCTCGAGGGGAGGGGGGAGGAAGAGTCCAGAAGAGCGGACTTTCCTTTTAGGAATTTTCTGGCCATTTTCCGTTCCACTCCTTTCCTTTCTCAATCCGAAAACCGGAATTTCGGGAGGGAGAGTTCATCCTTTTCCGCGTCCAGTTCCACATAATTGGGGATGGGCGAGGCGCGTTGCGGGCGGGAGAAAAAACGTGGCCTCCTCTCAT